ACCGACATCTGGTGAAAATTTCATGTCATTAGCACCTCTAGTAATATATTTACTGAGAAAAATGGTGACGTGTTCAATACTTAATTTACCCGCTGTAAATAAAGTCACCTGAAAGTTTGGAAACCACAACTGCAATTTGTAATGCAAGGTTGATGTACAGTATATATATATAACGTTATTAAAGTGACATTTTCATTTAAGGTACAAAATATTTCTACATTGTTTTACCTGGATGAGACGTTTCAGCTGATTGTTCTGTGTGAGAAGTTGTGTTTTTTCCTGCTCCAAAGTGAAAATATAATCTGCCGTCTGTTGAAGGATTGCTGCCTGGTGGGGGAGAAACCAGAAACTCAAGTTAGACTCGAGACAGTTTTTCCAATGCATGAAACAAACTCACACTGTTGCTGAAACTCCCCCCAAAAGTACGCCCAACAGGCAGGACTTTACGACCCGTGTTTGGATCATTAAAAACAAAAAACAAACAGGCACCTTGCTGAGCTTCTCTCCATCTGTGTGTGGTAAGAGTGTTTTCAGGGACTGGAAACCAGCGTTGATGCTCTGCATACGACGGCGCTCGTTGCTGTTGGCAATTTCACGCCGAATCCGTCTCTCCTGATCCTGGGCCGTCTCTGGGCTGAGGGGGATGTTCGCCAGGCTGAACAAATTAACAAAAACAGTCCATAGATCATCATCATCATTTTGTCCCATATCTTATTACTACTGTATGGATTTGGCCTCTGACTCCTCTGATCATTAATTACCATCAATCGAAACACGGCGAATCATTTCTACTGTAATCGGTCCAGACTATTCTGGGAGGCCCGAGGCCAAAACCCCACTTATTCAACCGGGTTAAGACYCACCACTATGACCCTGACTGACCGTTCTGGACAAAAAGGATTTTTGAACTGCAAACTGTTTGGATGAAAAGAGATTGACTGTTTTCTACCCTTATGTTAGCCGAGGATCAGCCAGATGACCCCTCAGGAAGGCCTCCTCTTATCTCCTCTGGTCAGGCTTCTTGAGCAGGAGGGGGGCAACCCCTCGACCCGGAGGTTAACTCAGCACAAGCTTTTGTGTGGTACCAGTTACAGAACCCAGAACCTTAAAATTACTTACCACAGAATCAGGAAAAAACCCAAGAGCCGCAGATCCATTTTGTGCTCGTTGGCAAAAATTTATTAGTTACAAAATAAATGTACTGAACTTTAAAAAATGTTACAGTAAATATGTATAAAAGAAAAAATTACAAGTGAAATATAAATTGTTGCTAAGTCAGTTTAATCACAGCAAATGGTAAATGGACAGCACTTATATAGCGCTTTTCTATCCATCCAGGACACTCAAAGCGCTTCACAGCACAATCTGTGTCCTCATTTACCCATTCACACAGCACTCTATTAGGTCTCTACAAAGCTAACATATGCAGAGATTCTTAACCTATGGGCTGCGGCCCAATTGTGGGTCACGAGCGCCATCTTGAGGGCCTCAAAGGAAATAATA